GGGGGGGGGGGGGGGGGGGGGGGGGGGGGGCGTATGGACCAATGACGACACTTAGAACTTAATTTCAATTTGGTTCAAGGAGCGTATTCACCAGATGTTTGATGGAAAGTCAAAATGCTCAAGTGTACCGAATAATGTCAGCTCCACTCCAAGAAAAGGGAAATAACGCAACGTTCTGCTAATAACGACTACTTGCAAATGAAATCGCTACCCATCAAAAAACCTCAGAAAACGTAGTTTCAGATTCTTCCTCTCTATCCCCCCTCGGGACCTTTTGTCATGGAAGGCTTTCTGAATTCGACGACGACTCGAGCCAAAGAAAGAAGTACAGAGCGAGGAGAGCGTTATGATGCATGGGAGGCAGAACACGAGTAAGTCGAACAGACGAGAATGACTGCGCAGTTCTCGCCATTCCGGGAAATTTTTGCCCCGCTGCTAGTGTTTAGACCTCGCCACCCCCCCCCCCCCCGTACATTTTCGTGCCTGATTACCTCCACGATTCCCGACATGCCAGGCAGGCTGGGTTTTTCGTGCGCCTGATCGGCTCTCGCACCTTGGGATGCAGTCTCTTCCATTCATTTGCATCCATTCCTTTTCGTATTTTTAATCTCGTGATTGTTCCGTGCGCAGAAAAAGTTTCCAGAGAGATTCTTGCCTCGATGGAACTAACCCGGAGCTTTTTTTTATCAGCTAAAATGGACCAATATGAGCCAAACGTGCACTTTTTTCATTTTGAATTATTCCTTCTTTTTTTTTTTTAAAGAATAACTGTCATGAAGTACTGCGGTTTTAAGTCTCAAGTCAAGGTCAGGTAGACAGATGGCTCCTCCCCCAGTCCGTAGGAAGAGTCTGAACATTTCTCCACCACATTCCCATTATGAAACTTCCATGTCCAAAAAGTACAGAAAGTACTTTCCCGATTGCATCTATTCGCACAACAACCAATGTTCTCCAAGCTCCTGTAATCTTAAGTAATTGAGCTATTTTATTTTGCAAAGAATTCAAGACAGTAATTACATTAAAGCTTCAATCCAATCAATTGGGAAATAATAATTATCTTATCAAGAAGGTTAGAGAAATGAAGCCATCATTCTTCTACTTAAAATTCCACTTACTGGACTCCAACCAGAGTTCACCAGAAGGATGGTTTTTCACTACATGCGCATTATGCCTTCTGATTCTGCGACTGGAATGATGAAACGAGTCTAATTCTGCAAAAAAAGTTCCCTTTCAACCTATTTTGAGTCTCTTCTTTGGAAGACGCAAAGACTGGAAAGTGAAGTAATTATAAAAGCAATCAAAGCAATATTTCACTGCTTTTGCCGTAAGTAGGCCAAATTTAAAAGCATGAATTGTATTAGTGGCTTGTAACGGGGATGGAAATGATCAGGCAACACTGACAGCAGCACGATTTTCTGCACTTGGATGACTCGGTAGATTTTGTTTCTAATCGCAAAACAATCTAATTACATTTCTAGGGTTTCAGGATCCTTTACCCAAGTCTTATATTTAACTGAGGACATTGTGGAAGGATAGAATCATGACGATAGGGGATCCCGAAACATATGTCTTCTGAGATTGAGAGATAGAGAAAGAGAGAGATGTGGCCAACAATATCGAGGTAAGAGAGTAGTGTTGGACTACGCGTCACTAAGCAACAGGGAATCCACTCGTGATGGCTATGTGTGGAGGGAGTTTCATGTCTGCACCGCCAAGGAATGGCAATCCTTATTACTTCTACGAATGGAAGATCAGGCCTCTGAGTTCGCATTTAAGGAATTACCGAACTGGGGAGTTCGTGAGAAGCCCGAGGTTCACCATCGAGGAGAAGACGACTTGGAGACTTCGTTTCTATCCCCGAGGAGACACGGAGACGAGCGAGAATTTCGTCTCCGTCTTCGTGGAATTCCTGGAAGCTGATCCGGGGATCGGCACCAGCATCTCCTTGACCGAAGAATTGGCCATGATCGACGTGGATGACTCAAAGCAGAACATCAAGACTACGAATCGCATCCAGCTGAAAGTGGGGAAATCTTGGGGCTGGAAGAACTTCTTCCCTCGATATGCCCTGACTGAAAGCAGCGAGAGCCAGAGGAGGATAGTGAAGGAAGACACACTGAGGATCTCGTGTCTGTTGAACGTGGAAGGCCTTCGACCCTCGTCCATGCCTCATCGTTCACTCATGCCGGGACCCAATCTGAAATCTCTTGTCAACAATTGGGACATGAGTGACGTGGTGCTCGTGTCGACATCCGGCCTAGAAATTCCAAGCCACAAAGTCATCCTCTCGGCGCGAAGCCCCGTGTTCGCAGCCATGTTTCAGCATCAGATGAGAGAGGAGAGGGAGAATCGAGTGGATATCCTCGACATGGATTCAGAGATCCTCATCGCTGTGCTCACATTCATCTACACGGGAAAATGCACGGAAGTGGATGCGCTGGCCCCTCGTCTCCTCCCAGCTGCCGACAAGTACGCTCTCTTACGGCTGAAGCACCTGTGTGAAGAAGCCATCGCTCATCGGCTGAGCGTGGAGACGGCGGCTGAAACCCTCGCCCTCGCCGATGCTCATTCCGCCAGTTATCTCAAGCAACGGGCTCTCGAGCTTATCACCGCGAACGTGGGAGAAGTGCGGAAAACGTGGAACTGGGCCCAAGTGACCAAGTCTAAGCCTTACCTCCTGCAGGACCTCATCCTTCATGCTTCCAAAAGGCAGTTTCATTGACTGGAATGAAATGCAATAAACGAGACTTCTACATCCTGATGCGACAGCCTGAATGAAAAGGGAGGCTAAAGTTCCGTTCGAATGGCTGTAAACAGAAATACCCGATCACTCGAAATTGGAATAGTTTCGAATTCCTGAGTTTCCCAGGAGGAGCTACAGGATACGTAGATCGCGATCAAGCATTCGTGTGGTAAAAAATTACGAGGATTAATTCACAACTCTTGGGATAGGTGCTTCTGTGGCAATGCCAGCAAAATAAGTTTATTCGTTGCATTGCTCAATATTGAGACAGCACAAGAGAACGATGTCAAAGTCACGATTTTTGTCAACTATCCATCATAGGAGAACCATCCCTCCGTATTTCGTAGCGAGTGCTGCTAATGTCCAATGTCCAATGCGTAGTGGAAACATGCCGAGGGAAAAGTATTTTACGGGTATGACAAAGGGTGACATGCACCAGATCTGTTTAACTTAAAATAATCTGATCTCACCATGGTCCTCTATGAGAATCTGTTTGACGGAGGTATTCTTATTCCCATAGACACCCATTATGAAACCAGATCATTTTAATGTTAGATGAATCTGGTGCATGTCACCCAATAATGGAAGGCGTAGGCAGAGAGAGAGAGAGAATCGAGAAATTCTGCAAAATCTATGACGACCAACCATGATGGGTTCCGTTGGATTCCGTAGGCGTGAAGTCTGTACAAAGCAGTCCCTTCTTCGAATTGCCAATCCCAATCGGTCTCTTGTTTCCTCCCACGGTGGATCTATATTCTCGAGATCTGATTGAAGGCTTCCCCTTGTCCTTGGGCTCCGCAACATCTGAGCACGACGAAAAATGATGGAAATGGAAGAGAATTCAGATGAGAAGGAGAGAAGGAACGAAGACTAGTTTTCACCAGAGCCATGGCCATCATGACCATCATGATGCCTAAAAGCA